AGGGGGGGGGGGGGCGTCGCCTTACCGCACCGGCACAGACCTGAGAGCGACAGGGGGAGGGAGGCAGCTTTTCGCAGAGGGTGCTGTCGTGGTCAGCAGGGACGGTTGTGTTCATAAGCATAGAAACTCCTGGGAAAAGATTATCAATAACAATTTACTAGTAATACAGACACTTAGAAAATAAATAAATAAGCTGCCAGCCCCAAGCGGCCTGCTCTTTGCCTCAGTTCTCGGCCCCCCTCAGGCCGGGGTCACCTTCCCGGGGCGCGTTGGCTCCGGGCAGCGCAGCAGGCCGAGCCACGAGGCCGTCCAGGCCGGCGAGGGCCGGGAGGAGGCACGGCCGCACACCGAAAGGGACCTTTTTTTGGTTTGCCCTGAGGACGCACAACCTTCAGCCTCCCGCCATTCACATACCTGGTTGCTGGCGTCTCCTTTCAAATATGCCTGACCCGGGTAAATTGGATTTTCCTCCCTCGCTGTTCCCAGAAAACATGTGGGAGCCAGCTTTTACCCTCACGGCTGGTTTGAGGCCACAGTGTTTCATCAATCCATGAGGAAACCCGTACCTCAGCCTGCTAGGAAAACCCCAGTTCCCAGGCCCTCTAGTGAGGAGAGATCCGGGGAGGGCCACAACATCCAGAAATGTGACATGCTGCCTGTGACACATGGCAGAGGTTTGGCCAAGTCTGACTTGCCTCAGAAACTTGTCTGTGCCTTGAATCTGAGCAAATGTGTTCTCTCTTTCATTGCTTCCCTCTCTTGTTGCATCCCACAGTCTCTCCCGAAGCCAAAGAGGCAAACCCTGTTCCTAGTCAGACCGATTACACGACTGCAGCTTCGTGTAATGCCGTGTAAGTGGGATTTGTCCTACCTTAATGTATGCACGTAAATCCATTGCTGAACGCTGCAAACTTTCACACATACTTCTAGTACCAAAGGCGTTGTAGAAAAACATCTAAACATCTTGACTTGCTTCTAATAGTTTGTGTGCCTGCCTTAAGTTCATGTAGTGGTCAGCCTATAAAGAGCATCACTCCATCTTTGCTTAAAGGAAAATGCCCTGCGACTGAGTTTGCTCATACACGCACTGTCAAACTTTGGGTTTTTTTTTTTCTGTTGTCTCTCTTTTAAATGCAACAGAAATCTATGTTTTGAATATTTTGTATTTTTCTTAAAGTCATTGATTAGAAGAAAGCCCAAAGTTCATTCTGAAGTTGCTTGGTAACACTCAGCTTAAAACAATAGGTGCAACATGATTGAAAAGCTGTGGAGCAGTGTGGTTCTCCATGCAGGTTTGATTACCAGGCTCACGTTTTTCACAGGAATGTAAAAACTCACCAAGTTAACATCTTGGTGTCTGCCTACATCTCTGATACAGCACGTGAAAAAAAAAACACAAGAGAGCCAGTGGTATGGAGCTCTACTGATAGAGGTGCCATTGCCTCTTACCAGTTAACTAGCACAAGAAACATAAAAGCTGGATAAACCGTGAGCTTAGATTGCCCGTAGAGGCTCTCTGTTGTGACCAACCACGAGGTAATGTTCTTTCTTTCTGCTCTAAGAGCTACATGGGACACATCTTACACTTTTCTTAGCTATATGAACGTTTTGTTAAAACCATGCATAGGAAACTTTGACATATAATAAGCAATGAGGAATATAAATATGTTTTAAACATTACTGCACAGTCTACAATGGAATGTTTGGCTATTACAAGAAAAAAAAAGGGGGGGGGGCAATCTCTTCTCAGCCTTCAAGCACCTGTAAAAACCTGTGACTGCTCCCAGTTCGCAGTCTGCGCTAGGAGTTGGTTTACACTAGAAATAGCAAGAAATTAAACAAACCATTGAGGAGAGAAGGACAAGGTTTTCAACTCTCTTCTCTGTGCCCCTCAAGATAATTCAACAGACCCTGGCAGTGAAAGAAGATCCAATGAAACTGCCATTGGGCTATTGTGGAGTTTGTATCCATTGGCAGTCCTTCTTCCCTTCCCTGGAAAGAACAGAAGGAATTTGCTGACAGGTATGGAGCAGAACTATGTAAGTACACAGATAGGGGCCATTTTCAGAACACTGAATCCCACAGGAAGATTGGCATTATCCAGGGAATGCTTGAAGAAACTACTTTAACCAAGAACCATTCATTCCTTCCTCCCAGGGCAGAAAAGGTATATTTTCTACTGATGCATCTAACAGTGGAGAGCAATGTTTCAGGTTGTGAAAACAAAGCAAAACAAGCAGCTGTCTGAGCTGAACATTAACATTGCCTTCCCAGCTTCCTAACATAAGGCAAGTTGTGTGCTCTGCAGGGGTTAAATTTGCTTGTGTAAAATCTGAACAAGAGCAGAAAGTTCACAAATTCAGTGGGAGTAAGAAAGTAGAAGAATGCTACCTATGCTTATATGCTAAAGTGTATAAAATTCAAATTACTATTGTTAATGTCCTCAGACCCAGGACTTGCTCTCCAAGCAGTAAGAGGCAATGCAAATCTGCTCTTCTGGAGTTGCTACTTTATCCTTCATTTTTTACATCATCCTCACATTGCCACGTCTCAAAAGCACAGCGCCTTACTGGGACCCAGGGCTTCAAGGCTATGCTGCGCCTAACCTGCTAGCACTAGATTAATTAAGTGTTGAGCAACTCTTGTGAGTTTGCAAGAGGAGCAAAATCCTAAAGCCCTGTGTTTCTAGACCAAATAACTAAAGTAAAAGCCTTCCCGTTCTTCTGTTTTCCTGGAATGATTGCAAGCTTGCTTAAAAAGAGAGAGGGGAAAAAAACCCCACAGGCTACATACATAAGTCCCAACTTGTTTTATGTTTAACAACTGAAAGAGGAGAATGCTTTGAGCTCTGCTTCCCCTCCTCCCCACTCCCCCCAGGATCTCCCAAAAACTCTGCAAAGTGCAATAATCAACTTTCTCAGGGAGGAAGTGAACATTTTCAATGAGAACGTGGACACCATCCATCGAGCTGCTCACAGTACTTTTTTTGTCCTCCCCAGTCCACAGACAAAGCTGGAGTCAGCACAGCTGAGGACCTGGCTAGTCATTTCTCACAGAGCAAATGACAGAAAGTCTCAGCCATGTGAAGCAAGAGGGGAAGGTGGTCTGTGTGGTGAAGGACAGCCCGGTTTAAGGTGTCTATACCCTGTTTCAAAGCACTAAGTCCTTGGCAGCAATAGGAGATCCAGCTGTCCCCACTCGCTGTTGTTTATTACCAAAATCTGCTCTGCATATGGAGGCAAAACTGGAAACCAGTACAGGGTTTAAGAGCTTTCTCTTCTCTTTCTGGAGCCTAAGGGTAGCCATACCAGGACGAGACAGAAGATGGCACTCGAACAGCACCAGATGAGCAGCCATCGCTTAACACCTCCAGCAGGGGCAAGAGTTATGATCAGAGTATATATATTAAAAAAAAAAAAAAAAAACACAACGAACAAACAAAAAACAAAACCCGGAAAAAAGGAACAGCCACTCAGCCACGGGGGAAATGTTTTCATTATCAAAGCTTAAAGTTTGCCATTAATGTTAATGTTTTAGACTTTGGACTGTAAAGGCTAGATGCGTTACATAGTACCTGGAAGCTGTGCTCTCCTTCAGTTCACAATACGGCCTGATACTGTAGTTAATGTTTCTCTTGGAAATAAAAAGCAACCGTGCACATGATTCCATGTGAAAATGGCCAACTTGCTTTTGTACAGTCAGTTATCATTAGTGAGGGAACCGCTGAGAACAGCCTGGTAGGTTCACAGCTGGGTCTGCACACCCCAGGGATCATGGTAACAGGGCTGAGCTCTGCGACCCAAGAGGTCCCTCCTGGTCCTGCAGCCGCCGAACTGTGACCTCTTGTGTGAGGGTTGCTTAAAGAAATGAGTGGATCATGCTTCCAAGTGGTCAACCGTGATTTGAGGTTTAACTTTAGCCCTCAGCGTTCTACACATAAGTGTTTTCATATTAAGTACTGGAACTAGCATTGTAGCTTCTTCAAAACGGTACATTTTATACCAGTTTGTAAAGGGAACAGCTTTGCTACGTAGAAGAGAAGACTGAAGGAACTCAGGGAGGAAAAAAAAAATATTAGACTATTAATGTTATCTTTTAGCATTTACTCCCTTTTAATAAAAAAGATTTATAGGCTGATAGATTAGCCAGGTTCACAAAGAATCAGTGACACATCATTCCTCTAATTAATTTAGAAATAGATCAGACAGATTCCTATTTTACAGATAGGAAATTGAAATTGCCTTACTTCTCTCTATAGGCCTGTTTGTTTTTTCAAAATTTGACAAGTCTTATTACAGCTGCAACAGTAAGAAACTTCAGAGACCACAAAGGTCATTTAAACCAGATAAACCCAATACAAATGACCCAGAATTTAGAGAGCTTAATAAACCAGCTCTCTACTTCCTAAAGCTATTCACTGATGACGAGCTCTGTCTCCTTTTTCTTATTGCCAGTGGATATGGTCATACCGCATAAAGTGACATACCTGCATGATAAAAGATGTGTTGTTTCCCTGAAAGTTATCTTCTAGCTGCAGCAGAGTACAAACAATGTGTTATCTCTGCAGCAGCAGGATTCAGGTCCCCATTGTGTTAGGTCCTCTTTGAAGGCAGGAAGACAAAGGCAACCCCAGCCCCACACCTCAATGAAATTACCTTTGGCCAAATAACGGATGTCTGAAGCTGAGGTTAAGGCTCCCTCCAGTGAATTAAGCAGCATTTTCCTCAGGCTTCAGTGTGGTGAGTGGTTAAAGGCGGCAGAAAAAAGAACAAACATCTAATCGTTTCACCTCTGCATCTCTTTTGTATGAGCTCTTCTGCCTCTGTAGAGATATGCATCCCCTGCCACCTCGAGACAACACAGGAGCCAACTGTGCGAGCTCACACTAGCTAACGCAATCAAACTCATTCCATGGACATGCCAGCTTATCAGTACTAGAGATTTGCTCCTGTCAGAGACAGCATGCTTACTCGCAAACAAGGAGCCTTTGCCTCTGTATCTATACTGTCCCTGTGCGGGACAGAAACCATTATTTTTTATTCTTTATACAGCACTTACCACCATTAGCCTTCTGTCCACAACCCACGCTTTAAGTAGGAAAACGGGAATTGAGCAAGGCTTGAACACTTTTGGGACCCAGACTGCTTTTAGAAGGTGCAAACTCCTGGACAGTATTGAAATAGCTGATGTAAAGTCTCCTACACTTATCAGGCAAACTATCTTCCAAAATCTCTCTGTTAGTCCACCATTTACTACTCACGGTCAGATTACCTGGCATGCTGATAACTCGGTTGTAGAGGTGCTTGAACATTGCCCTCCTAACAGTGTCCAGGAGGGCTTATTTTCAGACAAGCAATTTTGAAAACAGCTAGATACGACAGGTCCGGTGTTGTGCTTGGCCCACTGTTTCCAAGTGCTGGGAGGCTATCCTGAAGATACTGAGTAGTTGCATAGAGATCCAGCCTGGATGAAGCAAGATTAAGCCAGGTAGGAAGAGATACCAGAACCAGACTGTCTCTGCACAGTTCGTGTGTCTACACTGCCTCGTACTTCATCTCAGCCCTCTTATTCTGGATGGTGGAAGAGCTGGCTGTACCATATATGCACAATATTCTCATTTATGAAAAAGGAGCTGCTTTTTTTTTTTCCCCCTAGACGTTGCTTTTTCAACCCTGAGGGCACTCAGATAATCTATAAAAGTCTTCCCTGTACCATCAGGCCAGAGGAACTCTTTTTCTCTTCTAGAAAACACATCTTCCCAGAATACTTCTGCTCAAAATTTTAGCTGACATATCCATGTACATGATGCAGCTGCTAGAACACACCAACGCAGATTTGATCATAACGCTGTAGCTGTCAGATGAAGGAATAAATACAACAGATGTATCACCAGGCAACAGCAGCAATGAAGGAAATAAAGCACAGATGTATATGAGAAAAATGAGGGTTTTAATGATAAATTAGCAGGTAAGAAAGACAATAAAGAATCAGTGAGCTCTGTTTGACATATTTAGGATCTTTGCCACATCAGAGTCTTAGTCTTCAATTAGATGGTAGCTATCAGGGGAGAAAAGCGTCGGCTTTAGGACTTAAGCACCCACCAGTAGCATCAGTTTGAAAGCAAAGTTTGGGTTCTCATTCTTGGCAACACTCGTTAGCAAGTTTTTCGGATCTGCTGACTTTTTTTTTTCTTTCATTCAGAATAAGCATCTGTGGAGTACTTGACACAATCCTTGGAAATGACGCATCACCACCCGGCTGTTCTATGGCACTTTTCAAGTCTCACAGTCAATTTTTGGTACAAGAATGGATCACATTTCCACTTGAGCCTTGACCTTCAGGGCTGACGTGATTTCCAGTCCGCTCACAGGACTACTCATGTAACTGGTACGTTGCTGCATTATGTTTCATTAAAAACGGTCACTCCATGTCCTGCAGTTGCTCACAAATTTAGAAGTCCACTTTTAAAAAAGCAAGCTGCTTTGTCTGTGAAGCACAAATCCAGTTTACAGTTTTCTTTCACTTTAGAACTCCAGCCACTCTGTCATATAAATACAGTTTGATGGAGAAATCTCACCACCTTCATGGCAATCATCAAAAACCTGCAAAAGCAAGCCCAGTGTCAGTAGAGTAATTACTTCCAATAAGATGATGCTTGCTGTATGCAACATGCTCGCATGTTTTCTGCTCCTTCCCCAGTAGAAAAGCAGTAGTCTATCAGAGCCCAAAATCTAGGAAGTCCAATGCCAGCTCTGAGGAAGAGTAACCTGAGCACAACAAAGCAAAACAGACCCCACTGTAGTAAACGTTGCAGATGGACACACTGGTGAGTGTTACCCACATATGAGTTTATAATCCAAGGGACCAAAAACTAGACAGAAATAAGTTAGCTTGTTAAAAACATAAATAGGCAAACTTGGGATCAGACAATATAATAATATAATTTGGAACTGGCTACACTTGACAGCACCCTTTCACATACAGTACAATAAAGAGACAACATGTAAGTGGGAAACATCCTGGTCTAAACTGAAGAACCCGCCTCTTACACCATAGCTAAGGCATCACGGGTAACACTCATAACCATAGCTGGCTTAGAAAGCCACGAGGATGCCTCATGGGCATAACCTTGCCATGTGCTGGCTGGCCATTTGCAGGATTTTATTCAAAATTTACATACACCTACATATTCATATACAGAATTAGTTACTTACGGGACAGAGCCCACAGGGTGTCCTGACTAATCCAGTGGGTTGTATGAGAGGACTAACAGCTCTGTACAATTTCATCTGTCCATCCACACTGCCTACCGTCCCTTCCTTTGCAGCAATGATAGTCATCTCCACTTTTCCGTCATATATTAGTGTATTTAAAATGGTTTCAATATCTTCCATTGACAACTCTACCTAAGAAATAATTTGTAAAATAAATATTAGTAAAGACACATGCCAGTAAGTCCTGCAAGGAGGAAATGAGCAAACAGCACGAGTAACAAATCCTTAGAATTCTAACCTAGCCCAGATCAAGGAAGCACTCTCGCTCAGTGCTTTATAGGGTTGTACAGATACAAAAAGAAAAGCAAATACCAATACCTCCTATCTCCCAAGCACTTTTGGATTACACTAGCCCTGGCTTACCAAAAAGAACTTCCCTATGCACCTCAAGTGTCTACATCATCCTAGCATGATACATTTCCAGTTTTCCAGGAAAACAATCATGAAAGAAAACAGACAGACTGCTAAAGATATGTCTGTTGATGGTGACCAACAATTAGGGGGGGCCCTCCTTCCCCACCCCCAAAACTTCTTGAAGTGCATACGCAAACTTAAGAGAAATTATAAAATATAAACTGGTTGAGATAGTTAAAGGAAAACTTACTCCAGTTCCCATCAACAAGTACGTGGATGAAAATTCTTTTACATGTCTTTGAAAACCCTCGTGTACAAACTACCCTGGAATCCCATGCAGTGCCAACGACCCTCCTCAAAAAGCAATAAGGCAGCAAAGGCCAATTCCAATGCAGTAACCAGGTAGGGTACTAAAGCGCTTATCAGACCCTCACCAAATTTGCAGGACCCAACTCCTGCAGCTAGTCATGCACTGAGGATTTTGACAGTAATAAGATGAATCTATTCTGACCTTACTGATACCCAGTTCACAGATGTATTTCCACACCTCATGGGATGAGGCAAATGAGCTGTTCCTCTGTATCATGGGGTTCTGTTTGCTCTCTCGAGCTGCTTCTGCCTGAGAAAAATGCAAAGATGAGTTATAATCAGTACTTGCTGCTAAGAGCCTCCTTCATGGTTCAGTTTCAGGCAGACTGAAGTATAAAAGTTGATTTCCAAACCATTTCTGGGACGTATTTTTTATTTAGCATTTAAAGCTATGTCCTTAAGACTGATGTATGTGAGACAATGTGGTGCACAATAAAACATAATCTTACATTAAATATGACAAAATTTACACAATGATTTAGATTAATATTAATTTAGATTAATAGAAGGAATATCAGCATCTGGCAGTTTTTGACACAAAAGAAGTTTCTGCTGTACCTACTGCCAGTTAGAATATATTTCAACGGAAGAGAGAGATGTTGCAATCCACATAAGACTTATTTAATAGAAAGCAGGCTCCTCCTGCAGTTATACTAGAGAAAACTGTCTTCTAGGCAGAGCTGACTAACTAGTGCCTTTCACCCTCTCAGAAATTAGGAACTCTGCAGGCAAAATAGTGACTTTTGCCAGGCTTTTTGGTCCTGTGTTCTTTGCTGCCTACCTTGTCATTGGACCTTGGAGACTGAAGGCTTCACTCCCTGTACAGGGTGTGACAATATGCATTATTAAAGTGCAACACCATCACACTTGCTGTGACAAAACACAATCCAGTACAGGTTTGCCAATCCAGTTAGAACAATGGCCAACACTATGGAAAACTTAAGCTTTGCCCATCACTGGTTTTATAAAGAAAAGAATTACTTGCACAAAACTAGTGACTTCAATAGTGGCACTCACCTTACTCTGTAGAAATTTAAAACACTGCTGATTTAACACCTCCACAAATTCAGACTCAAAGTCTTGGTCACTGTACCAAGCCCCACCAGTCACTGACCGGTCAGGCTGCAGGTTATACAGCATATACACCTTCTTCTTGGATGCCTGTTAGAGACAAAGTGCACAGCTCTTAACAGCGGAAAGTCTTCCATAAGAAAGGAAGATATAAGAAGATATCTGCAAAAGAGAGAGTTCATTACGCTGAAAACCTGGTGCACAGCAATCCAGCTATCCTTAACATGTTTGACTCTCAGATAACATGGTGATAAAGAGAAGATCAATACATTTAGATTCCTAATCACTTTATAACAGTGTTAGAAGAGAGAAGCCTAGTAACAATGTGCACACAATACAAACCTCACCGAAGAAGAACTCAGAGTTCAATTTTAGCCTATTGTCTCTAATCCCCCTCCACAGTCAAAGGCGGGCAGGAAAGCGTCTTTAGAAGACAGCAAAGACAAACTTAACGGAGAAACTTTCAACTATTTCTGCAGGATTCAACCCGTGCACTGATGATTGGAGGACCCTTACGTGATCAAATTCTGCAGCTAAAGTTAGCCCTTGCGAGCCCACTCCTTACTGCCACACCTAGACAGGGTGAATGGGAATGCTGCTTCAGTTCTGATATTAGTAATCAGTTAAAGTGCAATGGTCATCCAAAGGACTACTCAGCAACCACTGAAGGAATTTTAGCAGCATTACGTCCCCTGTATGACTAGATGAAGCCAGCATTTCTCACAAGAACATGAAAAAACTACTGCTTCTCTATGTCCAACTTCATTATCTCCATTTTATTTTTATTTAGGAAGTCACCCTCACATCTCACTCCCCCTGAAAAAAATGCACACACGCAAGGCAAGGTATCGCCTCCACGGTGCAGATGAGGCTGACACATAGAAAAAGCATATAATATAAAACTTCCAAGAGTTCACAAACAAGTGATCTTCCTGGTGTCCTAAGCCTTGCAACAAGACAGACTCTCTGCTGGTAACTGGGAGAATGTCCAAAAAACATGCTAATACCAGTGCTAACTAATTAGGCATGTAAGGGAGAGCAGGATGCTCCGTGAGCACTATAACAGTGTGAGAAAAAGCATGGAAAAGGATAAGCCCTACTCTAGTACATGGACTGTTTGCACATAAGGTAAGAAAGTTCTTGAGTAACTGGAACAAAGTAGAGGAACCAAGACTGAAACAGAACCAAATGCCTTAGAATTTTTTTGAAATAAACCATACAAATCCAGTATGACCCAGATAATTGAAGGGAGTTTCAGGAATTCCAGGGGAGAGCAACCTTGCAAGGCCACTTGCAGCTAGGTAACCATATCACTAGTCCCATATAAAAGGCTGAGATTGCTTCAGTATCAGAAATACCAAATTGTGGTACAGCAACACTGGAACCAAGGGAGAAAAAGCAGTTATGGGCAGGTTGCTTATTTGGGTGGACACTGAGTGGAGAATGGAGAAAAGGGTGGTAGAAAGGAGAGTTAAGAAACAAGAAAAGGCAGTAAGGTATAAAAATCAGTCATGGAACAACAGAGGGCAGGATCTGCAGACAGCAGGAGTGTGGATGCCTATGGGCAGCAGAGAAGCTGACCTGTGGACCCAAACCCATTGGGATGCTGGAGGGAATCCCACCAGACTTTTCCCTAACTTTATGTCCTAAAGACCAGCTATAGAAGGACAGAGAAAAGGGTGACAGAACTGCAGATTAGCAGCAAGAAGCGCGAGAGGTTTGTGAAGGGTAACAAAACTGCAGGAAGAGTTGTATGCAATAAAGAATTAAGAGAATTAAAACTTCAATTTAATAATAATGGTATGTAATTAGTAGTGATGGGAAGAATGATAAAACTGTATATTAATAGTGATACTTTTATTATAAATCAGCTTGTTAGTAGCATGTTGATTATTTAATAAACATTATAGCCTTTCATATCTGTTGCACCTCAAACCTGCATACTTAAGACAGTCAAATGCTGGTGCAGTCAGTGAAAGAGCTGGAGGCAGAACAAGGTTTCTCTGCTCCCAGTCCCCTGTTCAGACATATACAGCATGCAGCAAACGTTTGAAATGGTTAAAAAAAGAAGTCACAAAATACTCACTGCCACAGATTTAACTGCTTTAATTAGTTTCTTGCTTTCCAAGTTTTTCAGTATCTTGTTGATCTCTGTTAAAGGCAAATTACTTTTATATCTAATGTCCCTGCTCCATATACCTGTTTAAAAACAGAAAAATGAACGGAAGTAAATAGAAGAAACCGTTTGTTTCTGTACATACTCACAAACCAGAAAAAAAAAAAAAAAATCACATCACAGCATTGCTTGACTCGCTTGATAGGATGTATCCTTGATCCTACCACTCCCAGCAAAAGGGAGGGAAGGAACAGAAGGGGATGGAATGAAAAAACCAACTGAAAAAAACAAGAAACGCTCTCTCTCCTCCAAGAGCTCTTACAAGTGGACCCCATTTCACTGCCAACACGAATACATCACAGAAATGTTTTTGCATTTTTAGGTAACTAGTGTTAGTGCTTCAACAAAAATATGACAGCCAGTTCTACCTGTCATCTCTCAACCACAGTGTGCAGTGACGGCTGAGAAAGCCTAATTACTAGCAGTGGTTTCTATTGGCAGTACACCTGTTAAATCTGATACAGATACCATGTTTTCTTTTAAGTAGTGAGCGTTCTGTGGATTCCTCAGCTTGACAGTACCATAGATAAGTCATAATTCATATTCCCAAATATTCTGAAAGAGCCCCCTAGAAAAGTCAACCAGGACAGGTTGTTATTTTAATAGAGGAACATGTCATCTTCTCTTTTGTTTTTAAAAAGCGGGCACACGGAACATTAGCTACAGACCTGGTATGGGGACTCCATATTTTATATTTATATGGTCTGGAGAAGTATTTAAAAGTTTGGATAGGAACAGTTCCGTAAGTAAACAGAGTTAGTACCATTCACAATTATAATTCATTTAAACTACCTTTGTTGCCTGCATCTTCTATAATTTGGTAAACCAGTTTCTCTTGATTGTCAGAGCCTTTCATTTTACTGTAAAATAAGACAGACATCAGGATTTTTGCAAGGTCCAAAATCTGAAAGAAGTATATTTTGTTTAAAACTGACAAGTACTATGAAAAAAACAATGCAAAAAAAAAAACCGACTAACCCTACACAATAAGCCAGCCACTGGCAAATATAATACATGACACTAAACCTCTCAATCAAGCCAAGCTTGCCAGTGAGAAGCCACAGTAAAGAAAAAAGAGCACAATATGAAAGAAAAGTGACTAAACAAGAGTCACTCCACTTGTCATAACAATGGGGAATTTGGAGTCACATATTAACACAACTGTAGAAGGTCAAACACAGCACAGAGCATAATTTAGGATAATCTGTCTCTAGACAGAATATCTTAAAAGGGATAGTAGCATGCTCCCAACTCCAAAACATGCCTTTTCACTGGTCTGAGAAAGTGTGAACTCGGCAATCTTTTTCTAAAGCATTTGAAAGAGAGGATGACATGCCTGCACTGAGGATAATTTTGCAGGGTATTTCTTTCCAGAAGTACGTCTAGGCATCTTTTACGCAGATTTACATAGGCATCGCAAGACATGGTTTGAAGGTTCATTTTAATAAATCAAAGAGCATGAGTTCAAGTGGCCTCCTGGAACAGCTGTAAATATGAGCTGATCCTGTAACACGAGCAGTGAGGAAGACCACAGTTTGCAGATGGTAAGGTCGGGCTTCAGCTGGAATTCACCTGAGCATACGCATGTTTGCACAGGTCACTTTGCTGTCACCTGGTCCAGAAACCCTGCTAGCAAGTTAGAGCTATAGTCCCATGGCACCCTCTGTTCAGTAGAAACCACTACACCTAACACACTTTTCAGGATCAGCTCAGGGGATTTAAGTGTACTGTCCGGCAACAAGCAGTTATGTTCTGTAACATCCACGTTACAGAATCCATATTACATCACTGAATGTCTTCTCAGCAGTGCTACATGCGAGTTGCAGAATTGTGTTCCAAATATATTTATCCAGCAAACACAAGGCTTACCTTGCATTTTGAGACTCTTTGATTCTATATAGGAGGCCCGCGTTGCTCCTGAGAAGGTCCAGTTGCCCCTAGAACAGATGGGCACAATGCATTTACTTTCCTTCAAATAGCTTGTTTCAGAACGTGGCAAGAATCTTCTAATATTCTAAATTAAAAACCTTATTTCACATCAACTGAATAAAGGAAAGGGAAAATAACATTTCTAACTACTGGCAACAATACTACCCTTGAGGATATTTTTTCCCTTCAAGTACAATAATACCCTTTAGGATATTGTTTTTCCCGACAAGCATTCATTTATCATCAGCTATCAGAAATAACAAACACAGTTCCCAACCCTTCCCACAACATCTATGCACTTCCTATTATTTCTCCTAACTTTCACCATTGGACTAGGGATAGCAAGTCCTTGTATACTTTGCTCTTACTTTCCACCAAAACACTCTGGCTACCCAGAAATCACCTTGGAGCTCTACTGTACAAGTTTTGAATAATTCTGAGTTCCAGTAGCAAAGTTTATTTTTCACTAAGTAGAGATCACTGGAAAACTGCCAGCCAGGATTGATGGTGCCCCTCAGAGGCAAATTACTGGCATCTCTCACTCACAAAACATTTGTCCTGCCCTTGACGCTTGTGCCTAGGCCAGGCAAATTCTTATTTCCTATTTTGAAGGGGCAAGCAATTAGACAAGTTCAAGAGCATAACTGCGTATAATAGCATTAACTAGCATTCACTCTGTCATTGCCAGCTAATCCTTTCCCCATAGTTACAGCCTTGTTTCTCACAGATTTGCATTATGTGGTCGATTGAAGCTCACACCTCAGGATGATCCCCCTTCAACACTTTTCTACAGATGAAATACTTGCAGCTGACCTCTGGTGAAGTACCTGATGCTTATTAAGGCTGAGCTCTCACTGCATTTTTTCCCTAGGCTCGAGGTACTTACTAGATCTCCCCACACACCCCAAGGCATCTATTTTAAACAAATTCTAGAGACTTGACAATCTTTGAAGCCTCATTGTGAAATATGGCCAATCTATTCAAAAGTTACTGAACACACAAGCTCACATCCAATGTGCTGATAAACGTATTTATAACAGTAAGAACAAAAAGAGAAAGTTTAGTTTACTTCCAGTGCCATCTAGTATGGTTCAAGCTAAGAAGTTTTGATTAAAAAAAGAAAAAACAAAAACCAAACAAACCACATCTTGCTCAGTTTGCACACTTTCCAACACCTCACTTTCTGAGAAAGGAAGCGCCCCTCTTTTCAACAGTGCTCTCTCAACCTGCTTTATTTCCTGACTTCACATGCCCATGAAGCAGCAGCTAAGGAACCAAAAGAACTCTTGATCTTTAAAGACCTTGAACATTTAGCTGATACTCAAGTTTATGCCACGCTGAACCAACAAGACTAAACAGCTACTATCTGTTCCTGAACACGTGGCAGAAGTAGTTGACAGTGCTCCTATCTTGGGCTGGCTCCTGATACAGCAAAGGGAAATGCCCAGTGAGATGCGGGAAATTTATAGAAGACGCAAAAAAAATCCCTTGAGATGTTTCACCTGCATATTATCAGAGGAATCCATTATTTCAGGATTTTGTGAGGGGGTTGGAAAAGATCTTCATATGTAAGAGCATGGGCTAACATTCATTCTTTTATTTCTAGCTAATTCGTTCCCCACCATTAGCGAGCTGGTCTTGCTGTTATCACCTGTGGCCATCTCAGCACCTGCTGAACCACAGCAACTGCGCTTGCACGCAACTGTTACATCAGACCATTGTATCACATTCTGCTTTACAAAGTAACACACAGGGAAAAGAAGACCAAAGAAATTTACATACATCAAAAATAAACGTGGTACTTCTTCAGCAGTAGCTTCCTCACCTACAAATCCACATGGATATACACATTCATATTAACTTCATATTACAGAATGGAAAGAGTAAGTTTTGAGGTATGTTATGGCAACCATAAGTAAGTTATGGTAACTGTATGTTACGGCAAGTGCTGGGATTAATTTGCTAGCCCAGCCACAGAGGTTGCTAACATGCAACCTGTCTGTATGACGAGCGCTCTGGGTCAGCTGAACTAATGCAAGGAAGGTGAGATCACCCTACCATTGAGAGCAGCCTGTTGATCGCCATGGCTCGCTGCTGGGCTTCCATGTGTGGCATATCATTTTGAATCACCTGGTCTGTGATACCGTGAGGGAACTGATGACACAGCTCAATAATCCTGGGGGAGAAGAAAAGCAAATTTAAAAGCATGTTCTATTGCATCCAAAACCAAATCCAAACAGTATTAGAGTCAGAACGGAAGAGAGGGAAAAGAACAACTCGGGGGAAAAGTACCCATTAACTGCTTCTTGGTCATATCTATTGAGGGAACTTAGTCACATGGTGCTCTGTTTTACTTTTATGTTGTTTTCATTATTAACAACATGGACTTAGAGCACCCTGTGCAGTTTCATTATACAAAAGGTTCTGACAGGAAGTAATTGCTAGGTAGTCAGAGAATACAAATACTGATGAAATACCTTTTATGAAAAAAAATGACTTAACGCAGAAAAGCCACAATTCCCCTTTCCAAGAACAGCAAGGCACCAGGGCAGCCGAAGGGAACCTGACCCTATCCCTCACTGCTACCTGAGCACCTCCCATTCCCCCTCCCCAAAACACACAGTGCCCCCAACAACAGCAAACCCCTCCTTCGGGACCCTTTTCCCGACCAACGCCCGGGCCCCGACCAAAATGCCCTGTGCCCTGCCGCCTCCCCTCACACCTCCGCCGCCTCCCCACCAGTGTTTGCTTTTCCATTTTCCATTGGCAGCTCTTACATGCCAGCTGATTCACATCTTCCATGACAGATCCCACATCCACAGAAGCTGCAATTCACAGAGTTAGTCCCCACTACACCCAAGGATCTCAACATGCAGACTGATTCTCTTATTGGTGTTCTACAGGCTTAGCCTGCAAAATCTCAACTTCTTCAGGAGTCACCAGTCAACTGTAGGTGGAACATGTATGAGGGAATACCTTTATAAACAAGATGGTACTTTCACTGACTCCTAAACGCCACAGATCAAATGCGGAGGGTTAGGATGCTAAACTCCCTCCCCAAAGCGTAGGATGCAAATGCCAACTTGTAACATGCCAGAAAGTTTCCCTTAGAACCCTCTTTCTCCTCTTTTGGGTTCTACAGGAGCCAACAGCAAGGCTAAACTATACAAGATCACCTTCACAGGTGGTTTCGGTAAAGGCTGCCATTAAGGAGGCCATACCAGAAAACACCGAGTGACTATTTTATTCTCACAAACCCACATTATTGCTGAGTCGTCTTACGAAACATACATCAAAACGTCTGCTGCCAACAGAGCTGGGTAAGGTGCTTATGATCTATACTTTCCAGAAAGCTTCAAAGGCACACTGCTATTCTCATCACAGAGCATTCCTCAACGAGCATTTACTCATTGATTTTAATGAAAAAACAATTGAAAACTATCGTCCAAACTTTCTTTCTGATCTCTTGGTAAACGAGCCCCATTTCTAGCCACATATCTTTCTGACGGCAGATACTACATCAATGAAGAAATGAATCGGGTGATGCCATGGAAAGCATATGCTTTAGGAATTTAAGTGAAGTGCCGTGAGGGGACGGGGAGCCAGGCCTGGCCTGGCAGGGCATGTGCAGGCAGGGATGGAGCCCACACTGGGGCAGGGGCCCGGCACCCCGGGGGGAGGCCAGCAGGACTAGTTGTGTCCCACCGCTGATGGGCTCCCACAAAGCTGAAACAGGGCACTGTGCTTTTGGTCCAGGTGTGCCAAGAGCAGGCGGGTCCTTGAGGAAAAATACTCTTTGCTGCCGCGCATCAGGTAAAGAGCTGATCCACCCATCCTTGCGTCTCCCGTGCTGCTGCATGCAGCCCAAGAGAGTTTGGCTGAGAACAACCCGCACTCCTTAACGCTGTTTCGGGCATACCTGCCAAGGAGATGGGAAGATGCAGGCAGCACTGCGGCATAGCTTGTCAGAGCCCCAGTGACAGCATGGACTAATGAACACCTCCCGTGTTGAATCATTACCATCTGCGTTGATGAGTAGCAAGAGATGTTCCTGGAGGGATTGAAGGGTTGGTTACAAAACCAAGTCCTTCTAGTGTAGACATGTTTCCTGGCCCTGAGTATCAATTCCCAAGATCTGGAGTACATATTTTTGTATTGTAAAATACTATCGTATCCAAATGCAATTTTTCACTCTTGAATTGTGTGACATGATAATGACTATGTAAATTATGATAAATCACGTTTGGCACCTGTTTTATAGGTATATTCTTAATGCATGCGATAGCTGAGATAAGGTTTAGGAACAGCTGTTTTGCTTTAGTCCTTTTCAGGACATCTTGTGTATATTCAGATGGCCATGATCAAAAAGAAGCTGGTTCTTCCTGCGGAGAAAATGACACCACGTCTGCCATGATTAGGGTCAAGATACTTTGCTGTCACTCTTACCATGTACCACTGATGATGCTAAACCTGTTTCACTTGAATATGTGGGAATCAGGCTTCTGCAAGGAAGGCCAAAGTGAAATAAAAGCAACAGTGCTCATCTCAAGCTTTGTTCACAGTTCTGAAACAGGAGAATAAGTTGGAAGTGTGGTGGTCGTTAGGATCTTGCTCCTTTTCCATGTGAAAATCATGCAAACATTAGTGAGAACTAACAGTTTAGAGAGTCTGGTGTTCTCTCTTTTAAGACAAATAAATGAAGACAAGGAATCACATTAAAAGACTGTATTTCTCAATGGATTCTTCTGCTTAGAAAAATTATTGTCTGCATTTTTGTTTTTCTTTTTTAAAGATCACTGCTGAGGAAAATGACAGCTGGCTCTATTTCGGTTCCTCAGGTCATACCACTTCGAATCCCTCTTCCAGGGAAGGCTAAACATGAAATAGACACAAATACTCTGGTAGAAATAAAATCAGGTATGAATAAGAGCTTTGACTCTATGTAAAACCTTTTCTTAGGTGTTCATTTGAAACTTTTAGCCTCTCTACTTTTGTTTGCATTTAATTGTGATTTTTATGAGTGCACACTTCCTTAAGGAACTCACAAAATTAACCAACATATTTTCATACACCAAATGTAATTGCAGTTAATGTTGTGCATTCAAGCAATATTATTGACATGAGTTATTTCACATATCCTAGCAGTCTCAATTGCTTCCAAGATCAAACTCTTAAGATGTTACATTTTGCTTTCACTGCAAAACCAGTGCTTGAAAGTATTATGTGCCAGGCTCACCCCAAAGACTTTCCTTTATATTTTTGAAATGACACCTTTCACTGTCGGAGAAAATATCTTTTCTTTCATTAGAACAGACAAGGTGTTGCAATGTTTTAATACAAAACCATTGCACAGCAACTTTATGAAGAGAAATATTGCTTATAATGAAATTGCATTTGTTAAGTAACTTATTTTTCATGGGAGAAACAGTTTTGGTCCGAAACATTCAGTCATTTATGGAACTGCTTTATTTTGTTTACGTGAGAATAATAAAGCACAGTAGTAAGTACTTTGAAGCGTGGAGCTTGTTTTTCACAGGTTGAATACAGTCTGGCTAAGTACTTTCTCTGTGTTTCAGATACACCTGAGGTATCCATTTATTACACTTTAGATGGGAGTAAACCAGAACTCATCAGGAAACGTGGCTATGGAGAGCATAACACTTTTAAGTATAAGGGTCCTATCCTATTACCAGTTGGGAAAGTAATGGTCAAGGCACTGGCAGTCACAAAGTAAGTACCCTGTTTTATTTTAGTTGTATTTTGACAAGGGACAGGTATCGTTTAAAGCACTCCATACCTTGCAAATGAGAGATACCCCTTTCCCCAGCCAGTTTGCGATCTAAGTGATCTTCATGGGTTGCATTGACTTCACTTTCTCATAACACTTTTTTATCCATTAAGTGTCTGTGCAGTTGGATTATCCCTCGGATGTTTATGTCCTGGGCTATGGATGTAGGCCAACGATCTGTAGAGGCTGTGGGTGAGAAACTAAGAAAATATACTATACTTAGAGTTCATCCTTTTGAGTGTGATCATCAGAAATGCCAGAGGAACTAGTGTGGTGTTTTCTGGGGTCATCCAGATTTGCAGAAGTTGGTCTCCCCAGGAATTTGTTTAGTTTCTCCCAAAGGAACACAGAATGCTAAACCTCACAGCTGAAGTACAATGTTGTACATGCAAGGGTAAACTAAAAATACAATACATAGAAAGAAAAATGGATTTTGCTGCACAGCCACTGACTTTCTGCAAACTAACTTCATGCTTAGAGGCAGAGAAGACACATTAATTCTCTGTCTGTACCCTGTTGCATTATCTTTTATTTCCAAGGAAGCAGAAACTTCCACTCCAGTTGGGGATTTGTGCTTGCTGTTCCCTGCTATTGGCACCTGCAGGTAGCCTTTGCTTGTGCAAAAACATTGTGTTCCCTGTGCAGGGACATGCAAAATCTAGGCCTATATGTATTTTCTGATAACACTACCTAGATTAACGCTGTTTCCAGTATGTTTTTATTAAGACATTTTCAGCTGTGCTAAATAGATGCTCTAGAATGACAGTAAATCCTAAATGAATGGTTTGGGCATTTACAGCAATTTCAATGTTACTTCTGTAATTTAATAAATAGTACAGAATTACAGTTGTTTTATCAAATAAATAGCATGCTATCTGCTGTTTGACCAGGAAATTGAATATGGTATTATGAATTAAATAAAAGTCTTACTCCACTATTTTCTGCAATGCTGGCAAACGCTAGTTACCCTAGAAAGCAGACACAGGAGTATCAAGAGTTTTACATTTAAAAGATGTTGAGGGATTAAAGTATCCATATATTTTATTGGTAACTTCTTACTGCGCATTTTTAAATAATAATAATAATTAAAAAAAACCCTAAAAAACAAACAACAAACCAAAATGGAGAGTATTGCCCAGGATTATACTTATCAACTGAAATAATGACTTGCAACCTTGGAAGAGATGTTCCAGCAAATGAGCCATGTTCATCAGTGATTGACTTGTTGCTGCATGTGGGTTTGTGGCATGTATATAGCTTTGTGAATGTTGATTTTCAGGGACTGCAGGGAGAGTACAGTTGTAACAAAGGTGTTCCTGGTAGAGTACAAGCAACCAAACATCCTCCTCTCTGTTGAAGGTGATGACAAGAATTTCCTAAAAGA